ATTAATTTTACTGCACGCGTTTTGTGGGTATAAAAAACGTAGCGTGACAGCTCAATTTTTTGAAATCCTACCGGTTAGAATCATCTCTATTTCCTTTGACAACATGGCTAAAAATATTTGTAATTTCCATGTATCAAAAAAAAAAAAGGAAAGAAAAGAACGAATAAAACTGTACAAATGACGACTAATCGATCACAACACAGCAAGTGATGGGTTATCGAAGGGTGGCGTGTGTATTTAAAATATTTAAAAAAGAAAATTGTGTTGAATGAGGAAAAAAAACTGTATTTCATTTTTGTTGGATTTTAATGTAGTGCAATGTTGTTCACTGTTGTTCAATGTTCTCCACCCAACATGACAAAGACGTAAATTGATCATGAAACCATAACACCTTTTTAAGTTTGGAAAAGCTTTTCTAGTTCTGACTCGATACTGCCAATCGATCCGCCTACTTTGCAAATGTGCATGTATATCTTGATAATGTACAAAAATTCAGCTTGTGCCATGAAAATCTTACCTTGAACGGCTGATGTAGGTAGTGGCCCTCTAAATATAAAGGTTATCAATAACAAACCTAAGCTTCTTAAAAGAAGGTATGACATATTTCGTGCAATCGCGTTACAAAACGTCCAAACTCCCGTTCGAAATATGTTTCCTTTACTAAGAAGTCGAGGTCAAATGTATACTGCGGAGTAAAATCCTCTGACATCTGTCATGGTCATTTGCGAATGCAGTTAAACCGCGTGTTTGAACTGCGTGTTAAAACTGCGTGTTTGAACTGCGTGTTAAATTCACCTTTTTGAATATTAATGACATATGTTAATTACTGGTATCGTGAAGGTCTTCGAGAGAGTCGCGATGTTTTTCGATATAAAGTAAGCACTAACTGTGGTGAGAATTTTCGTTAAGCAGCGCCTCTCGGGGCAGCTGTGTAAAGTAGTAACCTTTTTATGTGGCTGTTATGGCTTTTTTCCTTTTTTTTTTTCAATAAAACCTCATGTCATGACAAATGACATTGAATGTAAAGCCATACGAAAAAAGAAATATATTTATTTGTCTTTCGCCAGGCATTTTTCCAAATTGTTAATGGTAGTTGATGTCACCAGTTAAGGGTCGGCATATCACTTTCCTTTGCCTTGATGTCCCTTCGCATGAAAAGTACTTTACGCTCACAATTTGGGAGTTGAGCCCGTTGCAAAAGAATAATATTTGCTTCACACTATTCCAGCTGAGTAGTTGCATTATTGCCAATTCTAGCGGATTTCGCATAAATTTGCATAAATTTGCATAAATTATCGCCCAAATTTTTGCCCAAATTTTGACTGAGATTTTTGGTATACTTTTCTTTAATAAAAAAAATTGATTTAAGAAGATAAAAAAATTATTAAATATAAAAAATATTGGCATTGAATAAAATACATACGAAGTTAGATATGTCAGAACTGAATTCACAAACAGTGCTTCAATTGAAAGCACTCGCAAAACATCTCGGATTGAGAGGTTATTCACGCTTGAGAAAAGCGGAACTCATTGCGCATATTGAAGAGTTAACAAAGGATGATTACGAAGAAGTTGTGGTTATTGAAGAGGAACCTATCGTAGGTGGTTCATTGCTTGATGATCCGATTCCTGAACATGAGATACTAAAGGAGCAAAAAATAATGAAACCAACAAAGGCAACCAAGCTTATAAAAAAGAAAAAAAAGATTGATAAGGTTGTTAAATGGGGCAAAAAAAAGGTAGAGGATTGGGGGAAATGGTTGAAGGAGATAGAAAGTGATGAACCACGTGTTGTGGTTGATGACGAGTTAAAAGATTTCAAAGCACATATCGCCAAACTCTACAAAAGAGACGAGCATCATTTCAATCTTGTCGAGAGAAAGTCATTAAAGAAACATATTGGAAAAATGTATACGATTGATGGGGAAGAGGGTTATGATCCAATAGACTTTTTTCAAGCTGTAAAACCGACCGTTATCAAGTTTCTGTTAACACAGAAAAATATCAAGATAGAGTTCGTTTTGAGGTGTAATATGGCAAAGACAAACATTGATACGGGTGAGACTGTGTTACTGTTTACATATTTTCATTCTTACCAAGAGATTATCTTTCAAGAAACCGACCGAGAAGAGATTTATAACAGGAGTATCGTTAAAATGATGGAGAACATGGCAAAGTTTACAAGAAATGGAAGTGGTTGGACTGTAGATTCGATTGCAGGATTAGATTTACATACGATAGAATATAAACCTTTAAAAGGTTCAAGCTATATCAAGCTAGATTCATGCCTTGCAAAAAAGAAGGCCATTGTAAACATGAAAAATGAAGATGATGAATGTTTCAAATGGTGTGTTGCAAGAGCGTTGAATCCTGTGAAAAAAGACCAAGAACGTATCACAAAGATTTTAAAAGAGCAGGCAAAGAAATTGAAATGGGATGGAATCAAGTTTCCGATGGAGGTGAAAGATATTTACCGCTTTGAAACGTTGAATCCAGGTATCGCTGTCAACGTTTTCGGGTATGAAAGAGGACTCTATCCCATAAGAGTGAGCAATGTTGAGAAAGTCAATACTCGCATCCGCCTTCTTCTCATCTCTGAAGAAGAGAAAAAGCATTACTGCCTCATCAAATCTATGAGTCGACTTATATCGAGTCAATTGTCAAAAAATGGACATAAGAAGTTTATCTGTGATAGATGTCTCAATTATTTCGGTTCACAGAAAGTTCTCGATACACACGACGAGTTATGTCGAGATCATGAGGCTGTGAGAGAAAAGATGCCAAAACCTAAAACTTTTCTCTTCTTCAAAAACCATCACAGAAAAATAGACTTGCCGTTTGTCATCTATGCCGATTTTGAATCGATCATTAAACCTTTGAACTCTGCTCAACCGTTTCCTGAAAAGTGTTATACTGAGAAAAAACATCTACATATTCCGGTGAGTTTTTGCTACTACATCAAATGCTCGTTTGACGACCAATATTCGAAACTGGTCGAATACATAGCAAAGTCAGAAGACGAGGATGTTGCACAGATATTTGTCAACATGCTTGAAGAAGAGGTTCACAGAATATACAAAAATCATCCACCAAAAAAGATGATCTTTACAAAGAATGATGCTGAAATCTTTGAAAAAGCAACGTGTTGTTGGATCTGTGAAGAAGAATTCGAGGAGGGAGAGGAAAAAGTTCGTGATCATTGTCATTTTACAGGTAAATTTCGACGAGCAGCACATAACAGTTGCAACCTGTCAGCTCGACAACCAAAATTCATTCCTGTCATCTTTCACAACTTGGCAAACTACGATGCTCATCTCTTCATCCGAAATCTTGGTGTTTCAGAAGGAGACATTAAATGTATACCTAACAATGAAGAAAAATACATCAGTTTTACCAAAAAGATTAAAGTTGGCGAGTTTTTTGATGAAACGAAAGGTCATTTTGTTGATGTTAATAGAGAGTTGAGATTCATAGATAGCTTCAAATTCATGGGTTCCAAGCTTGACGATCTTGTCAAAAATCTCGTCAAAGAAGATAACACCTTGGTTAACACAGGAAAATACCATACTGGTGAGAAGCTTGAACTGTTGAAGAGAAAAGGTGAATTTCCTTATGAATGGTTTGATTCTATCTACAAGCTTGATGAGACTGAACTTCCACCCATTGAAAAATGGTTCTCTTCATTGAGTGGTGAGGGTATCTCTGAAGAAGGTTTTTGTCATGCACATAAAGTAAAGAAAACCTTTGGAATGAAAACGTTCAGAGATTATCTCAAACTTTACAATCAAAGTGATGTTCTTTTGCTAGCCGATGTTTTTGAAAACTTTCGAAAAGTTTGCAAAAAACACTACGATCTCGATCCTTGTTGGTACTTCACCTTACCGGGTTTGGCTTGGGATGCTATGCTCAAACTGACTAAAAGAAAGCTTGAGTTGTTGAGTGATATCAACATGTTACACATGTTTGAAAAAGGTATCCGTGGTGGCACCAGTATGATTCCAACAAGATATTCGAAAGCTAACAACAAATACATGGGTGAAAAATTTGATCCTGCTCAACCTTCAAAGTTCATCACATATCTCGATGCAAACAACCTCTACGGTTGGGCGATGAGTAAGAGCCTACCGACAGGTGGTTTTGAATGGATGGATGAGAAAGACTTCAACGAGTGGGAAAAATATTCATGCATTCTTGAAGTTTATTTGCTCCCCATCAAAGAAGAACAGCTGGATTATTTTGATCATTATCCACCGGCTCCTGAAAATCGAAAGATCAACAAAGTACCAAAGCTACTATGTACCTTGAACGAAAAGAAAAAGTACATTATTCATCATGAAACATTGAGGATGTATAAATCTCTCAGAGTTGAGATTGGAAAGATCCACCGCGTCATCAAGTTTGAAGAGAGCCCTTGGATGAAACCATACATTGATCTCAACACATCTTTGAGAGCCAAGGCTGACAATGATTTTGAAAAAGACTTTTTCAAGTTAATGAACAATGCTGTTTACGGAAAAACCATGGAAAACATTCGAAAACGAGTCGATGTGAGACTAACCAATTCAGAACATACGATAAAGAGGTTAGCAAACAAGGTCAACTTTAAACATTGCACCATATTCTCCGAGAATCTCTGTGCGATAGAAATGAGAAAGACTAAAATTACCTTTGACAAACCTCTCTATCTCGGAATGTGCATTCTCGATCTCAGCAAAATATTAATGTACGACTTTCATTACAATTACATCAAAGCCAAGTATGGAGACAGAGCAAAGCTTCTCATGACCGACACAGACAGTCTCTGCTATGAGATTCAGACCGACGACTTTTACCAAGATATAAAATCAGACGTGCACAATCTGTTCGATACGAGCAACATTCCGAAAGATCATCCGTCTGGAATACCGAGTGGGGTAAACAAGAAAGTTATTGGAATGTTTAAAGATGAGGCCGGTGGAAAAATCATTGAAGAGTTTGTTGGTCTGAGAGCGAAGCTTTACTGCTACAAAATGTTTGAAGATGGAAAAGAAGAAAAGAAATGCAAAGGTGTGAAGAAAAACGTGGTAAAAAACACAATTAAAATGGAAAACTATAAAAGATGCTTATTCGACGGAGAAAAACAGTATAGAAAAATCTATACGTTACGAAGTCGATTGCATGATATCTATACGGAAGAAATAAACAAAGAAGCAATGAATAGAAAAGATGACAAGCGAATCATTCTTCCGGATAAAATAAATACAATTGCACCCTTCCACCCTCTCGCAGAGTAATTTAAAATCCAACAGGATTGTAGATTACTACCCAAATCTGATCGTATATTTTTTATTATTGATGACTATTGTTTTCTTCATCTCTTCTTTTTTACCAAGCAACTTTGCACCAAGTTTTCCAGGATTTATGTTAAAATGTTTTGCAGCAGCATACATTGAGGGAAAAACAAATTCTTTTTCTTGTTCTTCTTTTTCAGACTCTCTAACAAGTATTACTTTTCTCTTCGCAGCTCTTTTTTTTACTGGGATTTTATTGGGAGGGTTTCTGATGTAATCAATCAATTCTTTTTTCTTTAGTAAATAACGTCCCACCAAACCGATATCTTTCGCCCTTTCTAACAGCGTTGGTCTTGAAAGCGAATCAAGATCGTCAAGATCGTGATCGCATATCTTTGATGTTGAAAGCGAATCAAGATCGTCAAGATCGACTGTCTTTGGTGGGTTTTTGATCAACTCTATTAATTGAGCTTTTTTGAGATTTTGAAATCTTTTTAGCCCAATATTCTTTGCTTGTTTGAGAAGTGCAATTCTTGTAAAATCGTTAAGATCTTCAATATCATTCATTTTATTCAATGCAAATATTTTATTTAATAATTTTTTTCTCTCTTTAAATCTTTTGAAGATCTTTCACATCGATCCATGAGTTGAATTTTTCTGGATAACCACTCCACTTCACAAGAGCTTTTCCTTTACTCTTTCGAATAACCTTCTCAATGCGGAAAACCTCTTGCTTTGCTCTCAACATTTCTTGTTCGTAAAAAGAACCTTTGATATCTTCTCCAAGCAGATCTTTCAACTTGTAAGTGATCGGGTTGGAATATTGAATCTTGTCAACGACGAAAATTTCTTCCGTCCAATTCGGAGTGAATCCTTTATCAAACACTTTTCGTTTGAATTTGGAGATTCGAACGTGATCACCGACTGTAAACTTTGGTTTCTCTCGCAATCCACTCAGCTCACCATAGAGTTTCAGAAAGACAGCGTTCTCATTCTTTTTCTTTGAAGCCTCTGTCGGCGTCATACCGATCGATCTATGTTTTCGATTGTTGTACTTTTCAACAATCTTTGGTAAAATATCGAGATATTGTGTATTGTTCTGAATGGTAAATTGCTTCCACATATCCGTTTTGATCGTTCGATTCCACCTCTCACAGACAGACGATTTTTCTTCATTCTCTGTCGAATACATCTCAACATCTTTGGCTTTCATCAAATCTTTGACATGACTGTTGTAATACTCCGATCCTTTATCAACCCAAAGCCTCTTCGGCACCCGTCCCTCGGCAAATATCTTTTCGAAACCCTTCGCCACACTCTCACCCTTTTTATTCTTCAACGGAACGATCCATCCGTATTTGCTAAAAACATCCAAAACCATCAACAGATAACGATAACCCTTATTCCACTTTGCAAACTTTTGCATCTCTACCAAATCGGAACACCAAATCTCATCGATTCCGTTGACAATAACACGCCGTTTTCTAAAGTTTCGTCTCACCGGTTTGTGCAACTCGTCTGCCAATTCTTCTTGCCACCCGAGAGGTTTTTTTGCGCTCCCCTTCAATTTTTCGTCTTTTTTTTTACTCCCAATCCCAACTTCTGCTTTGTGTTGATAATGTTTCTGGCGGCCCAATGACCCCACTGTCTTTCAGAAAATGGAATCGCATCGAGTGCTTTAACCATCTTGCGGTCGGCCGCATTCTTACAATTTTTTGGATTCTTCTTGTTTGCACAGACGCTGTAATCAACATCGTGTTGCATGGCGACAGCGTCTGTCGGACCTCTCGGTTTATCAAAAATCTCGAGAATCTTTCCTGTATTCGGATCGTATCGAACTTGTTGCTCAAGATTGTTATACGGCCCCGTGTATTTGTGACCTGGAAGAGTCCAACCGGATTTCGGTTTCGGTAGTTTTCCAATGGCTTTGTGTTACGTGCACGAATGACCAACAAATGTCCGCTAACAAAGCATTATGAAAATAGACTCCCGAGTACGATATATGGCACGCAACAAAAATGTAACAACAAGCAGTTACCCATTTTAACTATTATTTAATTAGTTTTACACTGTCTAATTTACTTAGGTTAACGATTAAGTTAAGCAGTTCATAAAGCAGGCTTACAATCCTTCATGCCGTGTAAGTGTTCGTNTTCCAATTCCAACATCCGCCGACTGAAGACCACAGCGCTTGGCTTTCTTGATTTATCGCATTCTTTCCTTGTACACAAATTCTTCCGGAGGACTCCATAGTAAACTCTGTATTCTCTATCTTCTTCCTCTCTCGACTATCGTCTTTTTCATCTCTTTCTTCTCTCCGGATATCGCAAGGTCAAAAGGTCATAGCCTCGTCATATCATAGCTTCCAAAAGTTCAGTCAGCAAGCCACGAGGGTAAGCCCTCGAGCAAATCTCCTTTGTACTTCTCACAAGCCAGCTTTTATACATTTACTTTAGTTATCTAGAATGTTCTATTACTATTTGTAGCGTATTACAAGTTGTACTATTTTTGGAAACTGCTGAGTCACATGAAAGAAGTTTCTGGAATATTACAGATTATAGATCATTCTAGAAAAGTCTGGGATTGCGTGACAGATTCAGTAAAAATAATTCGATCCTCGTAACACTTTGTGAATATCGAAAGATCCTCCTTCGTAAAGCGGATGTGTCGGATCATTAACACCGTCGGGAGCGTACATTGACATTGGAAGTATTCGATTTACATCGGCTTGATTAACATCATAAACACTTCCTCCACTTATCTTTTTACTCAAATCATTGCTAAAACTGTCAATGACCTGATTAACATATTTATCGGCAGTCTTTTTGAACTTGGTCTTTGCAAAATCCGATTTGACAGCTCTCGCAACGCCTTGCTGTGCTATATTTGCCAACCCTTTCAAAGCCATCTCACCCAAAGAATAGCTGTTTCCTACATCAAACAATGAACCGCCATTCAATGAATTACCATTTAATGACCCGCGGTTGTTTTTTTTTCCTCCCTTTCCTCCGGCAAATGATACCTTTGTGATACCACACTCTGCACATGTTGATTTGATCATCGGTCGACCGTTTTTTGCAATCTCATGCCTCTCACTTCCAGGCACAGACTCAGTCTTTTTTCTCTGTTTGACACAATAAGTCTTCATTTTATAATGTGTAAACATTATAAAAAATTTTTTAATCTTCACACGAGGGGTCACCCGCACAATGTGCGGCCTCTCGAATTTCTTCAACAAAATTTTTGCGACATGTTTTTTTCACATTGTCGATGAAAAGAAAATCGAACGGTTTCAGTCTTGAGAACAAATCTGCATCAAAACTGTTATCATCAGCGATAATTCTGCGATGACGCTTTTGTACAGGAGCGTACACAATCAAATGAGAACAGTTTAATCTGATTGTTGCGGGCGTCCTGTAATAAGATTGACTCAGATAAATCGGCGAAATTAAATGATGTCTGCCGTCAATAAAGTGAGTCAAGATCTTTTCTTGCACGTTTTTAGGAGCGGCGAGGAGATCATCAAAAATCACAACCTTTCTGTTTCCTTCTGGATACTCAGACGTGTCAAGAATCTCATCGGGGTTCATTATGTACATAATATTACATCCAAATTTCTGCGAGTGTCGTTGCATAATCTTTTGCAAATCTTGATACATCTCTTGATGTGAATTTTTTGTGTAAAGGTAAATCTGATCGTAAATGACCAACGGCTTTCTCAAAATATTCATGAGTATGTTTGTCTTTCCACTTCCACTGGGTCCCGCTATCAACATTCTGTACTCTTCATCAAGAAAGTCAACGCCGGGTACTCTTCTCTTTCGATTTTCGTTTGAACGGTGTGTTGTGAAATTTATAATATCAACCATTTATTTCTTGTAAATATTTTTTAAAATCTTGTCATGTAATCAAATGTCACAAGGACCTCGTGTCAAAAGCAAAAGCGAAAGTGGCACTTATCTTTGGAGATAAGTGTTATGAATGCAAAAGCGAAAGTGTTACTTATCTTTGGAGATAAGTGTTATGAATGCAAAAGCGAAAGTGTCACTTATCTTTGGAGATAAGTGTTATGAATGTAAAAGCGAAAGTGACACTTATCTTTGGAGATAAGTGTTATCTAATCAAATGTCATGCAAAAAGCGAAAGTGACACTTATCTTTGGATAACTTATCTTTGGAGATAAGTTTCACATACGAAAGTATGAATTCACATTACTATGTTTATTTTTTTTCCCGACCCCTTTTTAAATCGACAACGTAAATTCACACCGTCGGATAAAGTTGCGTGACTTAGACATGACAGACACTTTGCGGTTTTACAAAAGATTTTGGTTTGCAAATTTCAATCAGACAAACCGGTCTGATGATGTAATCTATGATGTAATCTATGATGTAATCATAAGACGCGAAGGTAAAGTGTATGTCTCGCGTGTAAAGTGTTTCACGTGAACACTAATTTGCATTAACCACAAACAATGGGATGATCACGTGCAAGACAATAGAAACATTCCAGAGCACCCTAGTAACCGAGAGGCTAAAAATAATTTTTTTGAAGTCAGTTTCGACCCCCTCCGTTACTAGGGTCTCTGGAATGTAAACTATTGTCTTTCACGTGAACACTTATTGTATGTTAAGTGGTACCTCGTGATTCGCGCGACACGTTCTAGTACCTCGTGTAATAAAAAACCCGTGCGCGAAAAATTATTTACGCATGCAAAAATATTGTCTACTAATAAAATGAATGTTGAAGCGTTTAAAAGAAACCTTGACCTCAAACTTGAAAAAAATCGCAAGAGGTCAGAAATCAAAAATAGAGTTCAAGATTATAACGATACCAAGCAAGGCCTTGAACTCGAACGTGAAGAAGTATTTCAACCGATTGTGAAAGAGGTCAAGCAGGTCAAAGAGACAATAGACGATAAGCAAGACAAAATGATTCAACAATTGCAGGAGAATCAAAAAGCTCTCACTCACGATCTATCTTTTCTCAAAGAGCTCGATACT